TGCATCTTGTACAGCAATTAACCACTAAGAAGAATATATGCAGTGTATTATTTGTTGAAACTGTACTTTCGATTTGATTTGAAACTGTCTCATTGCTGTATGTTTATCAATAAAACTTTGAAAAGAAAAAAAAAGAAAAAAAAATTTAAAAAAAAAACCCTCCAAATTGCATCACTTTATCTTCATTCAAAATACAATTCTCTTAAGTGGAGAGCTCCTCACAGTAGATCTCTAAAGACTTATCCTTAGCCATAGATTCACATATGAGTTCCACATCATACTTCTCAGATGTTCTGTCTGCACACAACCACAGTGGCCTTTCAGTTCTCCAGATGCACCAGATTTGGGTCTCTTATATCTTTGCATGAACTCATTCTATCAGTAATATGTTCCCCTTAACTGTTTTCAGATCTCAACTGGACTTTTTTGTCCCATCATTCTAAATAAGGTCCATTTACTTCACTCTCACACAAAACGGTTACCTTTGCTTCAGAAAATTTAATGTACAAGTATGATTTTGCTCTATGACTCCTTCCCTCTTGGATGATTCCAATCCTCCTGACCTATGGAAAGGGAAGGGAAAGCAAGGTAAGCATTGGTTGTGTTAATCACCCACCTTTGCAGGCATGTGTGAGCACTGCCATTTCTCAGCCCAAGGCTTCTTTTCGACAGTAATGCCAATGGAAGAGTAAAAGAAAGAACATGCAGGTGGGACTACCTATTTACTTATGCTGGCTGTAGTGTAACCAGAGAAGTTTGTAGTAGTTCCCCAAATCCTCAAGTATACAAATGCTGTTTATTCTTTTTATATACTGCCTCAAAGTTTTGTTCTCAAGGCCTCATCCTTTAAGGGGAGCACACTTCCCTTCCAAGAAATTTCTTCAGATGATGATGATGATTATTATTATTATTATTATTATTATTATTATTATTATTTGCAGAACCGGGGATTGAACTCAGACCCTTGCATTTGCCAGGAAAGTGCTTATTCCACTGAGCCATCTCCCCGGCCCCAATTTCTTCAGATTATAAAGAGGTAACTAGTTAGACATTATTCTGCCTTTAAGGTTGCTTTATGTTTTTCTTTTCTAAATTAAGACTTTTTATTTTGGGATAATTTAATATTTACATGCAATTGTTAAGAAATAACATATTGTAGGGCTGGGAAGATAGCTCGGCAACCTAAGTGCCTGCCTGGCAAGTGCAAGGACTCAGGTTTGATCCCTGGTATTGCATGCCTTGCTGGCCCAGGAAAATCCTGGGCACATAGTGCCAGTCACTAAAACAGTGTGTGGTGGCATGTGCCTTTAACTCCAGCTCTGGGGAGGCTAAGATAGGAGGATCACTACGAGTCCAAGCTGCGTAGTAAGACTCTGTACCAACTAAAAACATGTTTTTAAAAAAAATTTTAAAAACATAATTCTATGTACCTTTTTCTGAACTTCCCTCATGGTACTATCCTGACAGTTTAATATCACAGCCAGGATGCTGACACTGGTGCTATGCAAGTACCTTAGGGTACACAAGATCGCCATCATCAAATCGACCCCTGGAATTACCCTTATACTTCCCTCTGTCCTCTACCACATTTAAAATCCCTGGTAACAACTGATCTGTTCAACACATTGCCATTTCAACAATATTATAAACAGAATCACACAATAACCTTTTGAAACTGTTTTTTTCCACACAGCACAATCTTGTAGAGATTCATCCTGGTTATGACATGTATGAGTAGTTTGTTTCCTTTTACTGCTAAGTATTATTTTACAGAATTGGATATATTTGTTTAGTCATGTGTCCATTCAAAGGCATATTTTTATTATGAACAGAGCTTCGATGGACATTTGTAAAATAAAAAACATGCTTCATTATCCAAGTCCATTTAAACAACTTGTCTAAATAAACCCAGTGTGAGAAATGTTTGACCATAACAAAAAAAGTAATATTTTCTTTCTCTCTTTAGTAATTTTAGCCTTCCTGCTTTCAATCTGTAGTACAGCTACAAAATCAATACATAAAAGTTAACTGAAAAAAAAAGTTAACTGAATTTCTATAAACTATTTCTTTTTAAATTTTATTTATTTATGTGTGTGTGTGTGTGTGTGTGTGTGGCCAGCTCAGCCCACCAGGGAGGCGGGGCTGGCTGGCATGTGGTGCTGGGGGATTGAACCGCGGTCCCTGTGCTTTGCTAAGCTTGTTCTAAGTAGGCGCTTTAGACCACTGAGCCATCTCACCAGCCCCCTCTATAAACTATTAATGATCAATTGAGAATTGAATTTTTAAAATTACCATTTATAACAGGACTAGAAGATCTGAAAGACTTAGGTATAAACCTAATAAAATATTTATAACATCTATATGTTGAAAATTACAAAACAACATAAAAAAAATCTAAATAGATCTAAATCCTGTGTTTGCAGATTAGAAGACTCCATATTGTTAAAAGGATCAGGTTGATTTACAGATTAAACAATCTCAACAAAAATTCCAATAGATTTTTTTAGAGGAATATCAACAAATTGTTTCTAAACATTGTTTGGAAAATCAAAGGAACTAAACAACTTTGAAAAAAAAAACTGGGGCCTCTATGTCTAGATATGTTTAAGTTATAATAAAGACAGTGTTTACTGGCAAAAGGATAGACAAGAAGATTAAGGGAAGATAAAAGTCTATGTTGCTTGCTTTTTTGTTTTTTGGGGGGCAACTTTGAGACAGGGTCTCACTTTGTAATACAAGCTGGCCTTGAACTTGCTTATGTAGCCCAGGATTGCCTTGAACTCACACAGATTCTCCTGCCTCAGCCTACCAAGTCTTGTGATTATAGGCAAATGCTGAGATCACAAGCATGTGCTACCATGCCTGGCCTTAACTTGGTTTTTGACAGAGACAGCAATTCAATGAGGAAGAAGAATCTTCAAGGAACAGTCATGGAATAATTGGACAAAGAAATGAAACTCTGGGAGAAAATCTTGATGAATCACTTATTAGACAAAGGCCTCTGAAGAACACTCAAAATTCAACAATAAGAAAACAAAGGTGAGGGGGCCAGGGATACAGCTCAGCAGCATAAATGTCTGTCTGGCAAGCATAAGGTCCTGAGTTTGATGGCTGGTACTAAAAAAATAAATAAATAAATAAATAAAGAGGAAAGAAAGAAAGAAAAGAAAAGCTGTACATGCGTAGAGTTCTAGCCACTGGGGAGCTTGAGGCAGGAAGATCACTTGAGTCCATGAGTCCAAGGACAGCCAGACAGCCAGAGAGGGCCAGGCTGAGAGTGGTGGCACATGCCTGTAACCCACTTCGGAGGCTGAGGCAGGAGAATCACAAGTTCAAGGCCAGCCTGCAATACAGTAAGACCCTGCCTCAAAAAAAAAAAGGACTAGCCTGAGCCAAGACCCTGTCTGAAGAATAAATAAAACTGGTCAAAAGATGTGGACACTTCACCAGAGATATAAGATGTTAAATAAGCAAATGAAAAGATACCTAACACCTTTAGACAAAAGAAAATTACAATTAACAATCACAATGAGATAGCATCAAGAATCTAAAGTTACTAGAACTCTTACATATCACGAGTGGAGAAGGCAAAGTGGCTCAGACATTTTGCAAACAATCTGATAGTGTATTAGTTTCACAGATTGCTATAACAAATTACCATAAATTTAAGTTTTGCATTTTTTCTGACTCTGCTTCCTTTGTTACATCTTTTTTCCGATTATTTTGCCTTTTTCTTTCCCTTTGTAAAGACTCCTGATATCTGGGTCCATCAGAACAACTGATGAAAATCTCCCAATTTTATTCTTTTCTTTTACTCCTTCTTTCTTTTTTTCTCCCCCCCAGGCGCAGAGTAGGACGGACCCTCTCCTAGCCCCTTGGGCTGCCCCCCACCACTCTGCAGTGCCTCCCCCCCCCCCCCCCCCAAGCAGGGATTGAACTCAGGCCCTCGTGCTTGCCAGGGAAGCGCTTATTCCACTGAGCCATCTCCCCGGCCCCAATCTCCCAATTTTTAAAGCCAGCTGACTACTAACTTCAATTCATTTTCATCAAACATATTCACAGATTCCAGTCATTAGTACATCTTTAGGAGGCACTGATGCTTACCACAAATGAAAGGAAACAAATACTATGTAATTTCTAACCAAGTGGCAGAAACTTAGAAATCTGGTAACACTAACAGTAAGGAATGAAAAACCACTATCACTCATACTGTGCTGGCAGAAATAATACCTCAAACAAGGACACAAATATTTATTAAACATTGTTTGAAATATTGAAAAACTGAATGAAGCTGATGGTGCATGTCTGCAATCCCAGTACTTAGAAGACTGAAGCAGGAGAACCACTGGGAGCTCAAGGCCAATCTGGGTTACACAGTGAGTTGGAGGCCAGCATGAACTATTGCAAGGCTGGTCTCAAAAAAAGAGGGAGTGTAGCTGGGAAATGTCACTCAGTGCTCCAAAGCTTGCCTAGCATGCAGGAGGCCCTGGGTTCAATTCTCAATACCAAAAACAGGAGAAAAACTGAAAACAACTGTTCAGTAGGCAATTAATAATGGGTAGGTCTGAAAGAAAGAGAGAGAGAGAGAGAGAGACAGACAGACAGACAGACAGACAGACAAGACAGGCAGGCAGGCATAAGGGAAATAACCCTGCCTGCTACTTACATGGTGTGGAGAAAGTAACTTACTGACATTTAACAAAATATAGTGAGGGATGCAATGAACTTAGAATATGGAGACAAACATTTCCACATTTAGCTCCAACTCTTACTACTATCTAGCAGACTACAGGCTACTTTCCATAAAACTCCTTTTCCCTCCAGAAAATGGTAACGTTAGATTACATAACCTCTAAGATTATTTCCAACTCAATGATTCTATGACTCAATAGGCATATAATAGATGATACTTTAAAGCACACATATCCTGTTAAAAAAATAAAGCTCATACATACTTGGATACTATTTTTCCAGGTAACACAAAATTTGAAAATCTAAAGAGAAATATACCTCACTATACTGGTAAATAAAACAGACCTAATTTCCTGACCAAATTTTCATGTGTTATGAGATTTTTAATGAAGGTCATAATTCAATTTTTTTTTAATTTTTACTTACTTATTTTTTAAGCTTTTATTTATTTGGTACAGGGTCTCCCTACCAGTTTAGATTTGCAGTGATCCTCCTGTCTCAGCCTCCCTAGCACTGGGATTACAGGCATGCACCACCATGTCTGGGGTTCCTGGGCCGGCAGGGCACGTGGTAACAGGGATCCAAAAGAGGTCCTTGTGATTGCCAGGCAGGTGTTTAAGACCACCCGGCTATCTCCCCAGCCCCTCAAGATCATAATTCAGGAATATCATACATAAATAGCAAAGCTACTGGGCTGACTTAGGTCTGCAGGTAAAATTTACATATCTTTTCCTATTTTAACATTTTAAAACAAGTCTATATTGAGTTCATCTGTACTTGTCCAGTTCAAGTCTGCTTTAACCAAAAGTCACGCAGGAAGTCTCTTGTGCTAAGATTTACACGATTTTTTAAAAAGCTAAAAATAATTAAGTGCTTTTCATATTTTTGCCTGTTTCCTCCATAAAACTCTTACATTTTAATACCTTCAGCCTGTTAGAATAGTTTAGACAGCATTTTTAAACTTACGCTATGTTCACAGGGACCTTATAAAAAAAAGTCAGTTCATATTCAAGAAAGCTTACTTTTCATTACGACCAATACACATAGTTCAAAGACACCAATAATCAACACATTTGTTCCTCTTGTAGACTTTAATAGGTTATTAACTTCTAGTATAATTCAAAAGCATAATTAGGATACTATCATTAAAACATGTTACTTAAAAAAAAAAAAGCTCAGAAATCTTAGCAACTTTCACCCTGTCAAGTCAAAACTTTTAAGATTTTTGTTAAAAAGACTTTCCAAATCTAAAGGACAGGGACAAAACACACGCCATATACTATGTCTAAAAGCCTCTAGGGCTATTAATTTTAATTTTAGCGTAAACTACCTTGAAAAACCTTTCATCCGAAACCTAAATTCCACACACATAATGCGTGTCAATCAACTAAACAGAAGGCGAGTTATCATTAGGAAGTTGCATAATTTGCGAGATCTTTGAAGCGCCTCGTATTTAAAGCAGCTTCCAACAATTTCCACGCTTCAAAGTTCAACTCGCAATTTCAAAGTAAATTATGAGAAAGCGACCTGAGAAGCTTTTCTTTCAAAGTGGTCACAAGGAAGCAGGAATTGTTTATCTGTTTTAAGAATGCATGAATGGAGAACACCAGGACCCGACTGACTCGGGCACAGGAACGCCGACGACATTCCGTCTGCTAAAGGAAAGTGTCCGCTCCGCCGCTGCCCGACCTGGCCCGCAGCCGGGGAGTCCCGCGCGCCGAGGACAGACAGCGCCCCGCCGCGCCCCCCGCGACTCGACCCGGGCGGTGCTGGGCAGCAGGCGCCCGCGCCAAGGTGCGTCCCGGCCGCGGCGCAGCGAGCGTCCCTCCGGGGGACAAAGGTTGCGCTCGTGCCCGCCACGGTCGCGGACGCCGCTGCGTGAGGTCCCGCCCGGGCCGAGAAAGCGGCGTGGGGACCCCGAGCCCCGCCGCCCCCCCCCCGCCGCACTCCCGCCGACCTGTTGATTAGGATCTCTGCCACCCGGCCGCCTCTCACCTCCGCGCCACGACGACCGCCGAACCGCCCGCCGCGGCCGCTGCGAAACACCGCAAGAAGACCTCCTGCAGCCCTGCACACACGGGATAAAGAATCCAGAAACTCCAGAATTCCGCACCTCAGAATCTTCAATCCCCGCCCCCTCCCCGCCGCCAGCCTCCGCCGTCGCCGCTGCCGCCAGCAACTCCACCTCGAGACCGCGCGAGACCGGCCCCCGCGGCCGCCGCGAGACCGCGCACGCGCCCCCGGGACTCTGGCGCACGGGCGCGCCTATCCCAGCCCCTCCCCGGCGCGCCCCGCCCACTGCCTGGCCCGTAGGAGGCGCGGCTCGCCCAATCCCCGGCGCGCGCGAAGAGGGAGCCCGCTTATTGGTCCGTTCTGCAGCTCCGGGGCTCGGTCGCGCGCACTAGCGCGCCCCTAGGAAAGGCGAGCCGCGGCCGGCTGGCAGCTGACGGCGCTGAGCCCGCGGCGGAGCTTGTGCGGCTGCCAGGTTTCCTCGAGGCGGCGGCGGGAGCCGTGGCCGCTGCAGCCCGTCACCCTCCTGCGGCTGCTGCTAGTCATCCCCGGAGGAAAGCCAGGCCCCGTGGGGCGACTCGGCTCTTGTCTTCACAGGCGTCCCAAGTCCTCGACACTTATTAAGCCGCGGCGCCGACCCAGTTAAACACCTGCGTATGTGTAGTGACCCGCAGAGTTCCCTGATGGCACAGACGTTAAGAAGGTACCAGCGGGGGCCGAATTCTGAAAAGCACAAAGAAGGACGCCGCGGGCCGCAGCTGTTTCGCAAAACTCCGGAGTGAGCCTCAAGTTTGGCGGGCCGCACTCGTCCCGGGCGGGGCTGGGCTCGGGGGCCCGGCGGTCCCTTGGAGGACGAGGACAGCGAGCCCAGGGGAGACGGAGTCGGAGCGCTTATTTTGTCGGTTTTTGAGACCGGGTCTCCAGCTCCTGGACTCCTGCTTCAGCCTCCCAGGTAGCTGGGACTGCATCTCAGGGGGTCGGGGGGGCCGCCTGACGGGAAGCGAGAGCAGCTCCCCCAGGCGAGCCCTCGTGCCTCGAAACAGTTCTGACCTTTGTTAATCAGCCTCTGCTGTTAGGCCCAAACCTGCCTGTCTCTTTGGTTAGTAGATTCCAGTTTCCCCAGGGGCCAACCGCCCAGACAGTTCTTTCTCAGAGCCCTGGGACATGGCAATTACTGTCTCTTTTGTCTCCCACCAGGGTTCGTTACGTCATCCCCAGGAGCCTGAGGCCTCTTCCCAATTTTTTCACAACCTTCCCCTTACTCCAATTCCGACACCCATGTTAATTGTGCTGCAAACCATCATTCAAGCTTGTCAAGATCTTTTGGATCCCTGTTCTCCCTGGATCATCACCCTCAAATCTGATCATTATTCTGGCCAAGTCTTTACAGATTTAGTGGCTTGGTGATGCTCCCTGTTATCCCAGAACTCATGGGGCTGAGGCAGGAGGGGTGTGAGCTCCAGGCCTGTTTGGACTACATAGCAAGTGAAAGGCCTTCTGGACTACATAGCAAGCCCCTGGGGATGTAAAAGGAGTTCAGGTGTGTGATGTACACGCACCATTTTCTCGATGGTGAAAGCAATCATCTTCTGCAAACATATACCAATTAAAAGATTTTAAGGGAAAAACAAAGTCAACCAAGGTTAGAACACCGCGGCATGCCTCTATGCACCTTAATCTTCTGCCATCAAACACCTCAGTAGACTTTGGGTAGAGATGGACAACCAGTTGCCAAACTCAACACCTGAGCTATCTTCTACATCCATATTCCTTGATGTACAAGAATTCGTAACTTCGGGTTAACACTCTCCAGGATTTTTAAGAACTGGTAGCCATAGTGAAAAAGGGAATTTGTGTGTGATTTATTTTCTTTCACCAGGTCTTAAATTCATAAACAAAATGAGGAATAGACCAAGATGTTTCCTCTAGCTCCTCCGTGAATCTTGCTCCCTATAGCTCAGTTTCTCAGTAGAGGCACTCACTGCGTGAAGACTGGGTGATTATTGTTAGGTAGACTGACCTATGCATTGTAGGATGTTGCCAGCAGATTTGGCCTCTGCCCTGAGATTTCTGCTGCCCTTCCCTTCCCGGTTGTAACAAAGGTGTGTCTAGACACTGCCAAAGGTCCCCAGGAAGCAAAATCACCTCTAGTTGTGGACCACTGATGTAACTGTTGAAGGAAATGGCCTCTTTAAATAGTATCTCTTTAATCACACCTGGCACAGGCCATTTTCCAAGGCACCTCCATCCACATCAACCCCACCCCTCTTGTTTGCATCCCCAGTTGCTTAGATGCCTGTTATAAGGATTCCACTGTAATAAAATCACTGCTAGTGTGAAATAGCAAAGCAGCTACTGATTTCACAATGGGTGGGAATCCTTTATAAAGTGCTATCAAAAATGGTATTATTGGGCCAGGAACATGGCTCAGTAGATTAAGCACTTTTCTGGCAAGTGCAAGGGCCTGAGTTCAAGCCCCGGTACCGCAAAAAAAAAAAAAAAAAAAAAAAAAAAAAGTATTATTTCTGCCCTCAAAAGGTTTTTTGGGTTTATTTTGTTTTGTTATTTTACACTGGGCATTGTATTCAGGACTTTTGCACTGCACTAAATCCCTAGCCTTTTTTCTTTCTTTTTTTTTTTTTCTGTATATTTTAGGGAAGGGTCTACAGGGTGTTCAGGGACTCACTACTAGATCAGACTCGGAGTGATCTGCCTGTTTACAGCCTCCCAAGAGGTGGGATTACAGGCATGCACCACCACGCCCAGTCTCAATCACATCTCAGGGCGCCCCCAGGGGGCAGGGCCAGCATGATACCCTAGGCTTTTAAAAACTTTTTACTTTGGAGACAGGGTTCCACTGAATTATAAAGTTGCCTAGACTGAGCTTGGATTTGTGATCCTTCTATCACGGCCTCTCACAGTGCTGGGATTACAGACATTCACTACCATGCCCAGCTGGTATTTTCATTGAAAAAGAGGGCAGACCCTAAGGAAAATAAGAACTGTGCTCCCTGGTGAATACAGCCAGCCCCTAAATCTTTAGATCCACAACTTGCAGGTCTCAGGGGGCAGAGGCATGGTGAAAGAGAAGTTGGGAGCAAGTCAAGTGGAGTTTCAGCTTTGCTACTGCTAATGTTCTGTGATTTGGATGAATGAAAACTTCTTGGGCCTAAGTTTTCTCATCTATAACATTAGGTAGTTTTTGTCATGTTTCTGGTTTTAAGATTCCAGTAGCTTCTGCTTATAGAAGTAAAAGATTAGACCATACTGTTTGTCCCAAAATAGGACATTGATAATCAGTGGCTTAAACCCCCCTGTCTGAGGAGTTCAACCTTGCCACAAGGTAATCAACCTGCTGAGTCATCCTGGCAAATTTGTAACTAAATATTATGGCTGAGTAGTGAAACCCATACCATGAAATTGGATATACAAGCCAGGCACCTTGAGAAGCTGAGGCAGGAGGACTGAGTTGAGCCCTCCTTGAGCAACTTAGTGACTAGTAAAAACTAAAAGAAGGGGGCCAGGGAGATGGCTCAGTGGAATAAGTGCTTACCTGGCAAGCACAAGGACCTGAGTTCAATACCTGGTTCCACCAAAACAAACAAAAAAACCCCAAAAACTAAAACTAAAAGAAGGGATGGAGTTGTAGCTCAGTGCTAAGTCAAGGCCCCAATACTAAATACAAACATACATACATTCGTACACACAGTGGAGAGTAAACATAGTAAATACCCTTCCTCCTCATTCATTTGGGCATCTCCTAGCTGTCATTGGCCAGTATCCCTTATCACATGTTTATGTTGAAAATGACATTCTGTTTTATTTCATTTAAAGGGTTTTATTGTGTGTGGGGGATATAGTTCAATGGTAAAGTACTTGCCTAGCATATGTGAGAGCCTGGGTTCCATCTCAAGCACTAAAAGAACTTGGGGAATATATTGACATTGGATTGCAGCTATAATTTTAAACAGTGGCAGAGTTTACTTGAGAAAGTAAAAGTGAAAAATGGGGGAGACACTGGCTCTGAGTAAGGGCAAGCTTGGGCTCAGTAAAAGGAGAAAAAGAACACCCTGGAGAAAGTAGGGCAGGTCACTACAGGGTAAACCACAATAGCCCAGCTACTTGTGACAGGTCTGAAGTCTCAGTTTTCAAGATGCTACCACTTAAAAAAAAAAAAAAAAAGATTCTGCCATTCATCATTACCTGAGAAATCCATAACTACAGCCATTCTGTCTCCTCTTTGTGCTAGAAAAAACCAGTTTTTCATAACTGAGTAGTGGCCTTATGGCTTACTATTGTATGAGCTGGATGATCAGTGATAATGTAAATTAAAAGCAGACTACTCACTATTCACATGTAAGGTATGTAGCCAGGTTTCCATCACTGTGACAAAAATGCCTGATAGAAGTGGAATTTTAGGAGAAAAGATTTATTTTGGTTTACTGTTCCTTAGGTTTCAGTCCATGGTTTGCTGATTCCGTTGCTGTAGGCATGAGATGAGGCACAAGACAATGGCAGAGGGTGGTGCAAAACTTTTCCCCTCACAGCAACCAGGAAGAGGATGGGGCATACAGAGACAGAGGGGCAGAGACCCAGAGACAGACATTCAGACAGAGAGAAAAGGGCTGGAACAAAATACACGCTTCAACCCTAACAAGCCGTTGAGCTGTGAGTTCATCAATAGATTGGTCACTGATAAAATTAGAGCCAGGTGTGGTGGCACACACCTGTAATTGCAGCACTTGAGAGGCCAAGGAGGCAGGAGGATCAGTGTGAGTTCAAAGCCAGCCTGACTACATAGAGAGTCTAAGGACACCCTGAACTACAGAGTGAGACTTTGTTTCAAAAACCAAAACAAACAAAATTGAAGCCCCATCCCCTCCCCAAATGCTCCACCTCTGAACACTGCCACTTTAAAGACCAAGCCCCCAACACACGGCCCTTGGGGGATATACCTTGAAGCCCTATATTAGAGATGTTGGGTCCGGGATACAGCTCAGTGGCATAAACCTTGCAAGGGCAAGGTCCTGAGTTCAATCCCTGGTACCACAAAAAAACAAAAAACCACAACCTGCTAGAGATATCATTAAACAACAAACCAATAAGTATATTAGTAAATAAATATCTACATTTTATTTAGTTTTTTTGGGGGTTTTTTTTTTTTTTT